ATAAAAATCTAACAATTAGTTTCTTCACAGAGCCTGAAGAAAAAAACAATGGTATTGCTTCAGACCAAGGGTAAGCGATCCACTACCCATTTTTGTGCCTGCAGAAACCTCTGGAAAATAAAAATGAACCATTGGACAAATAAAAGCTCCTTAGTTTTAGAAATGGATTTATGACAATATGATGTCTCTCTGAAAAAAAAAAGAAAAGTACACTTTTTTTGGACCAAAGTAGAAAAAATGCAAAATTTATAGTATTATCACACTTTTCACTTGAGGCCTCGAGCAACCTGATCTAGTGAGGAGGTGTCCCTGCCCATGGCAGGGGGGGTTGGGACTAGATGATCTATAAGGTCCATTCCAACTCTTAAATTCTAGGATCCATAGTCTTCATTGCTGAATTAGAATTATGAATTTAACATTTATTCTGTCATTACATTATCCTATTACTTTGCTGTGCAAAGCCCCTGATACGTTATTACATAACTTAGGAAACACAAATGCATTCTGAAAATTCATTTCTAGCTCAGCTACATACTGTATTTTTTTATACATTGTAAGAAATTTTTGAGCTTATGTAACACATTGTACATAGGAAACATCTATATGTATAGATATACATGTGGATTTGACGCAGACTTGGCTACATGTGACTTTATAGTCAACAAGTAGCTCACAAACAGTTATGTATTTGCTTTAAAGATCATCACAAAACCTCTCTATATACCTATACCTTTTGAGCTTGATCAAACCCTGGTGACACCAAATGAAAGGTTCAGTCCAGTAGGAAATACTTCAAACCCTTACCCTAGACTTTGTTTTTGTAGGAATTATAGGTATCTTTGAAAGACAGATGTTTACTGAATAAATACTTCCATTGTCAAGTCTGCTCATGTGCCTCTAAAAAGCAAGTATTCTCCTCTTATTTATTGAAGCCACACTAATTAAAGGTAGGATGTTGAAAAAAAAGTGGCCAAGTTTTTTTAACCAAATAATTGTCTAATTTTCCTGGTTCTTACCTAGTACTGTATTGTGTGCAACCAAACAAGGGTTAGGGTGGGCTTGTCCTTCAGCAGGTTTATCAAGTGGCAAATACCATCATTATTAGACCATGGCACTAAGTGCCACATGCCGATAATGAAGAATTCCATTGCAAGATTAAATGGTATACGGACCAAGATGAAAAAAAAAAGAAACTACAAAAGGTCTTCCTGAGGCATTCAACACACATGAACTGCAAGTGGTCACCACTCTGACCCAAAGGGAAGAAACATACCCCAAAATGAAAAAAATAAATCCAAAAAGGAGAAGACACAAAAGAGAAAGTTCTCTTTACAAGAATCACACAATGAGTTGTCAATTCTCTGCAGCTAGAAGAAAGACCACTGTGTTAAATGATTCCCTTCATATTTTCTTAGATTACCTCTTTGTCAGATTCACAATGGAGTCAATAAAATCGAAGGAAAGCAGTATCAGGAGCAGTTTATATGTGATAATATTGTACTATCTATGTTGCTGCACAGTACTCCCTCCATTTAGGTCTGCAGTAAGAAGAGATTTAGATGAGCATTCTAATACAGAGAATAAAAAATGCTCTATAATGAGCAGAAAACTTTGCTATCATTGAAATCTTTGCTTCCTTTTTCCTTTTAACCCATATCAGTGATTAGCAGTGATTTTAAAAGCTGCAGCTCTTTATGAACATAGTTGCAACTTTTAAAGTCACTGATTGAGAGAACAAAGAATTGAGGTTTGTGTATTGTATTTTAGATCATAGTTAAAGCATGGTCATCAGCAGATAGTTTACTTACCTGGTACAGCATGATAGGCTCTATGCTGTAACCCAGCATATCAGCAAACTCTTTAGCAATAACTGTTTTGCCACAGCCCTAGAAATTAAAAAACATAAGAATTAGATCACATTCTAAGGATCACAGGGAAGGATGGAGAATAGAAATTTAAATTCTTACTTTTCCTCCAATTAAACACATATCTTTAACCATATGGGATTGCATCATTTCTGCCAACAGCTGGTTATGGCTGGAAGTCCTTATGAAAGTATCTGATCGAGGATGATTTTTCAACGGCCCAGTTCCAGCTGGAACCTATAAGAAGAAAATGACGAAAAAATGCTAAATAAGCTATACCATGATAACATGGCTTTGTGTGGACTTGTCCAAAACTACTGCAATATTTCGCTGATAATTGTTACTATCAAACTTAACACTGCCACTGTCACAAAATTTAGTTTCCAATTAGATTCAAAATATGATTTCTAAGAGACAAACTCCTTCACATCTCCTTCACCCAAAAATCACCAATATTCATTCCTCATCAGCGAATCATGGAAAAGAATGAGCAATTTGTATTGTGAAAATCTGAACGAGCTACTTTGACCAGAACTTTGGAGAGTTTTGATCATTCCCCATGTTAAGGTAATCACTCTACTTCCACTTCCTGTTCTAGTCAGAACTGTTCCACCTGCAAACTTCTTATGCCCTCCTGTTCCCAGACACATTCTGCAGACCTGCTTTCAGAAGATATCACCCACATGTCAAGCAAAAATCTTTGCCTCAGAAAAGAATTGAATCAGGTTCCTACAGACTTACCTTTTCCTGAAAAATTCTCAGTTGCTGTTGATCCCCTTTCTACTTCATCATCGTACAAACTCTCTGAGGATATTCCTTACCAATGTTAGCATGATCTCTCTGACTCCCACTAATTCATCTTCTTTACAGACTCTTTAGAGTCTCCAAATTCAACATTAACTTCAAATTTTCAGATCAGCATCTGTTTCCTGAATAAGAACTTATTTCACCACCTAGCAGGTCATAAACTTCATTGGAAGAAATTCAAACTAATCATATTTGATATGATTACTTTGTTCCATTTTCCCAACATCCTGTGTCGGAACATTACCAAGCACTCATTAGATTTTATTTGAAGTGTAAACAAAGACAGACTATTGTTTTTATAAAAGAAAAAGGGAAAGCAGCATCAAGAGCATCATAAGTACTCTCTCTTATTCTAATCCAATTAAACAATAAAAGAAATCCAGAGGCTTTTTTTTAATCCAAACTCAATGATTCACATGTAGGAAAGTATGAGTTTAAGTAGAAATAAAACCTTGTGTATCCATAAACTAATATTCCAGTACCTACATGAGTTTCCAATAAATATCACATGTTATTCTACCAAAAAAACCCCAACCTCATTGCAAATACTTTCAGTATCTAGTGTAAGCATCAAATTCTTGATGAGATGAAAACAAGTCGAGGATTTTTAAAAACATATTATAGTTTGATGAATATATAGACTCATACCTGGAATGTCACTTCTTTTTCACCAATCTGGACAGTTACATCAGCCTTGAAGGGTTTGTTTCCATGTACCGTTTCTACTTTTGTAATCCTTCTGGGAAGCAAGTGGTTTCCTGAATCTTGAAGCTCAAAACGCTGTAGAATTAAGGGGTGAGGAAAGTAATTATTAAATATAACTTGTTTTGTAAAACTGTTCCTTCCAAAACTATGCCAGAAGCATATCCACAATTCATTGTGAACTCCTAAATCCATTTACTTTACTTCCACCTTTCACATACCTACGTTCACATTCTTGATGGCCTATATATTCTACACTTAAAACTACAGCAAAGAGATTGTATACCAACTTATTCTGACTAGTGACAGTTCCAAAGCAAAAATGTCACTTTGCCAAGTCTCAGCCTGACAGTCCAAAATAATACAAGCAATGAACTATAGCCTTCAACATGTGTAATAATAGATCACCTATCTCTGCAGGTCATTATAACCAATTGCAGATTTAAACATCTGACTACCAATAAAAAGAACCAGCAAGCATTATGCTTACTTAGCGTCACAGCTGCCTTATACAATGAAAACTGAGGACAACCTGTACAAAAAAAGCCTTCAGCATGTTCTGGGTATATTAAGAACAAAACCCAGGACATTTGTCTTCTCAATCTTCTTTTGAGCATTATACTCTCTATTTTATGCTGTACATACAAAGCATGAAAACAATTTTACAAAATCCTTCAAAAGTCTGTTTAGTTGTGGAAGGAGTTACACCGGGGGGTTTATGCACAAAAAAAGCTACTAATTGAAATTACTGAATTCATAGGGCCATTTTACTAAACAGAGTGAAAGCTGAGTAAACAAGAGAAAAGAAGTATTATACAACTCTTTGGAATTCCTAAAAAAAAAAAAATTTTTAAAACCAGAAGTCGCTAATGTAAAACAATTCTTAAAAAGTATGTAGCTTTATTATTACTAGGATTCACAGCACTGCCTATTAAAGTTTAAAACAAAATCTGAGATGGGTTTTTACAAACATTTTGGCTCTTCATTGCTTGGTAAATTCCCATTCTGGAACAGAAGCCTACAAAAATTTTATGCTTAAACATGCATTTAAAATAAACGTGCTTTAGTAAAGGGCTGCACCAAATTATATACTTATTGTAACAGCTGAGTTTACTTCAGATACCATTAATGCTACTGAGGACAGGAATGACTTCTGAGTAGTATCTCAAATTATGATTCTAAGAAATGCTCCAACTATGATTATGTGAAAGGAACTACCAGATGTTCCCATTCTTATTTCATTAGTAAATCAGTAAACTGCTGCTAGACTGAATACTGTAGCAACTAAACAAGTTACCACACTTACACCCTGACAGGAGCAGCAAACAAAACTGTCTCTGTTGCTTTGACAACAAGAGAGATCTCTTTGACGCAGCTCTTCATTTAGAATTATGACAGGCAGATATGGAATCAGAGTGGCATGAAATGGATGTACAACACATTAAACATACTTCTGCTGAGCCAGAAGCAACTTCCTCTATAAAATGCCCAAGCTGATAGCTGCAAATAAAAGAAATATTTGTGGCTTGAAAGGACAACTACTGAGCACATTCAGTAGCAGAAATTCCAAGAGATACTTGGAGAACCAGAAGTGGACAGCCTCATTGACTCAGACTTCAAAAAGAAGGCAAAAAGAAGAGACTAGCCATGAAAAGTGAGGGAAGTGATTTGGCAGTCCATAATCATCAGGCTACATTCTGCATGCCTAGAAACATGAGAAAGGCAAAGTCTAAAAATTAGAACAAAAGGAAGAGGAATTCTGACCACCTGGAAGTATCTAATGATCAGTAATGTCTCAACATGGAACTTGCAAAGAATATACTGATAATCCAGCTGGATAAAAGAACAGAGAACTTAAAATGACTCATAGTTGCAGATAACCACTCTGCTGAATCCACAAGGCAGCTAAGCTATTCAAAAGAGGCATCCAAAGGCTGGAGGAATCTCTGCATGGGAAGGAAAGAGAATTTTTCAATGCACAAGAAGACTGAACTACTTCACAAGAAGCAAAATATGAACCACAAGTGCAAGATGGGATGAACAGACAGACAGATGGAATCTGACAGATTCCACTACTGTGGTATGTATTGGCACTAAGAGCATTAATTAATGCAAAGCCCCAAAGATTATAAAATACTTTGGAAGAAATAAGAGAGCAACAAATCTTTCCTTAGAACAAAATTTGCAACAGAAATGCCCTAGAAGCGAACAGAATTCTTTCTTGTCTAGACAAGAAAGAAGATTGCAGTTTTCTGAACTACTAGGCCACTGTCTCTGAGAGTACCTATGTAGCCTGAAGATTTCCTACTGTGAGGATGGGAAAGAGCATTCATCAGATAAAAGTGGATGTGCAAGTAATACAAAAATGAGTTATAGGGTACAAACAAGTTTTTATTTGATATAAGATCAAGGTGATAAACACAGTATTAATCAAGGCATGAAAATGAAGAAAAAATCTAGGGCCTTAGAGTGAAGCTGAAAACTTGAATAGTAGGCTAAAAGGGACTTGCTCATTTATTACGACAAATCTGATCCATATGAAGTGGATGTGCAAGTAATACAAAAATGAGTTATAGGGTACAAACAAGTTTTTATTTGATATAAGATCAAGGTGATAAACACAGTATTAATCAAGGCATGAAAATGAAGAAAAAATCTAGGGCCTTAGAGTGAAGCTGAAAACTTGAATAGTAGGCTAAAAGGGACTTGCTCATTTATTACGACAAATCTGATCCATATGTTATTTCTAAGATCTCATAGAAAGATTCTCTTGATTAGAAGGTAAAACAATCAAACAAGTAGGTGTTTCCAACACTGGGAAAAAGGCAGGCAAAAGGCATGTGAGATTTAAAAAAGCAAAACCAAAATATCTGATGAATCCTAAGTAAAACACCAAAAGCTTATGGAACAGCAAAGAAATAAGTATAGAACAGCTGGAGTCTCTTATGAGCCACCAAACTCAGCCTAAATGAAGATGACCAGTTTTATGAAAGTCTATCAGTAGTATGCAGGAAGGAAAACTTCAGTCCTGTGGGAGATATATCATATGTGCTTAAGCTTATTGTTTGACAATGTTTAACTGGAGGCTGCTTTCCTTGAAAGCAGTGATTTCTCTGTATTTCAGTTTTGTAGAGAAAATCTTTAAATACTTTTTCATTTAATTTTTACAATCATATTTCAAATGTTCATCTGTCAGATGAAATAATTTGCCACACCAGTACTTCATGCAAGTACAGAATAATTTTAAAGACCAGAATTCAAAGCAACTTATGTGTTCCTTTGTAAGATCCTGTAAGTCAAGTATCATCTTTAAGAATCAGAATACAAATTGATACAGTTGCCCAAGTACAGAAACTTCAAATAAGGGTAAACAAAGGCACATCATTCTCAAGTTTATTTTGGTACTTCTGTCCTGTCTGTTGCAAACTAATGAACTAATGAATGCTGCAAACTGCAGCACTTATACAAATTTTCTTTATGATATACAACTCTGAAGACCACTGCTGATGCTGGATTAGTGTGCATTCCTAAACACCATTTCTTATGCTAACCAGTTTGAAACAAGGAGTCACATTCGTATCACATTAAAAAGTTGATTGATAGAGTTAAGCCTAAAACAGGTTTTAACTCCAACTAGATTCACACAACAAGAAATTTGCATTTAAAAGCATCTTCACATATCCAAGACTAACACAATAAGAATTACAGTTGGGCTGGAAGGAACCTTAAAGATCATTTATTCCAACCTTCTGCCATGGGTAGGGGGTGCTTCCACTAGACCAGGCTGCTCAAAGCCCCATCCAACCTGGCACTGAACACTTCCAGGGATGGGGCATCCACAACTTCTCTGGGCAACTGTTCCAGTGCCTCACTACCCTCACTGTCAAGAATTTCTTCCTAATAGCTTATCTGTATCTATCCTTCTCAATTTGAATCCATTCACCCTTGTCCTATCGCTACATGCCCTTGTGAAAAGTCCTGCTCCAGCTTTTTTGTAAATCCCCTTTAGGTATTGGGAGGTTGCTCTAAGGTCTCGCCAGAGCCTTCTCTTCTCCAGGCTGAACAACCTCAACTCTCTCAGCCTGTCTTCACAGAAGTGCTACAGCCCTCTGATCTTCTTTGTGGCCTCCTCTGGAGTCACTCCAGCAGGTCCACATCCTTCTTCTATTGGGGGCCCCAGACGTGGGCATGGTACTCCAGGTGGAGTCTCACCAGAAAGGAGCAGAGGGACAGAATCACCTCTTTTGACCTGCTGACCATGCTGATCTTGCCGCAGGTCAGGATATAGTTGGCTTTCTGGGCTGCAAGTGCATATTGCTGGGTCACATCAAGCTTCTCATCCACAAACACCCCAAAGAAACTACCTTCACTCACAAGGAAGGTATAAGTCAATATTTCATACTGATTCATTGTTGACAATAAGAATTACAGGTAATACCTAGATGTTGGTGTCTCAATAAGCACGGAGGTGTATAAGGAAAGGATTTCCCCAAGTTGAAGATAACGTTTGGGAAGACAGTGTCTTGAGAATATGATCTCTTCAAGAAATATGCACAGGATCTAACAGCTGACAAAACTAGCTGCTTGGCATAACCTCTGGCGATCTCACTTCTCAGCTGTGACAGCTGACTGGAAGGGAAGACATCCTGAAATTATGATATCTTCTCAGCTAGATTACTACTTCCCAGATCTGTCTCCGAAGCAGATGCCTAAACTTTACATTTCTTTACACGAAATTTGGGGGGTTTCTCTTTAAATCTTAGCCAGTGTTAAGAATTTATTGAATCATTTTCAATACACTTCAGGTATTTATTTTTTCAACTCTCAATACCTCCCAGTTAAGATTAGCATTTCCTAACTCTAGTCTTTTACACAGAAAAAGTATTCAGTGGCAAATATTAGCCGGACACTCTTACCTTCCAAAAGGAAGGTAGAGTAAGAAGTTACTTTGCTTCTGCTAGACTCTTCTTTCCCACCATTCTTATGGAATGGAAAAAAATAATTTCTTATCAATATTTATACAGCTCTGGAGCTGCCATTACTATAATATCATTATAAACAGACATTGCTCAATACAGTTATTTTCTGCAATTCTTAAGGTTCATTGCTTAATGAGATTTGTTGTGTGCAAATAGAATAAAATTCCAAATAAGATTATATGCACTTGTTGACATAATAAGTTCATTTAAGTGGTGATGAGGAAGATTTTTTAAAAAAGAAAAGAAAATGAACACAGAAAAATGCAGTAACAAGGTATTTGAAAGTAGATTATTATCAAGAAAGAAGATTTTATGAGTCAAAGCAACCTGTGTTACAGAGGAAGCAATTGCATGCACAACACAAAGTCAAAGAAAAGAAATATATAATGAAGGAAGCTGATAGTATTGAACATACAGATGTTCACCATCTATAACTGATCGGGTAAACAAAATGACATAAGTATTTAAAATAAAGGCATATTAAGATCAGAAGTGAATGTTACTGCACTGATAACAGACAGAAGCCTATTTCCACACAGACAATGGTTCTCATGGGCATCTTCAATCATCCCAAACTGTGGTGGAAGGGCAACAGAGCATGACATAGAATCACAGAAAGGGTACAGTTGGAAGGGACTGCAGTGGGTTATCTGGTCCAACCTCCCTGCTCAAGCAGGGTCATCCAAGATCACATTGCACAGGATTGCATCCAGGCAGTTCTTGAATATCTCCAGCAAAGGAGAATCCACAACCTCCCTGGACAAACTGTTTCAGTGCTCAGACAACTGCAAAGTAAGGAAGTTCTTCCTGATATTCAGGTGGAACTTCCTGTGCACCAGTTTCTACCCATTGCCTCTTGTCCTGTTGCTTGGCACTACCAAGAAGGGCCTGGCCCCATCCTCTTGACACACTCCCTTCAGATACTTACAGACATTGATGAGGGCCCCCTCAGTCATCTCTTCTTGAGGCTGAACAGGCCCAGCTCCCTCAGACTTTCCTCATAAGAGGAATGTGCCAGTCCCCTAATCATATCTATCACCCTCTGCTAGACCTGCTCCAAGAGCTCCATGTCTCTCTTGTACTGAGGAGCCCCAGAACTGGACACAGTACTCCTGATGAGGCTTCACTAGGGCTGATTAAAGGAGCAAGATCACCTCTTGACTTGCTATCGACGCCCTTCCTAGTGTACCCCAGGATAACACTGGCCTTCTTGGCCACAAGGGCACACGGGCTCATGGACAGCTCATTGTCCACCAGGACCCTCAGGTCCTTACCTGCAAAGCTAATCAATCTAGATTTCTAAGGCTGCCTGGAATAATGTCTCAGCACAGGCACTGCACTGGCTAGGGAGTGGTGATGCACAGACAGCTCCTGCTATGCGCAAACAAGGACAAACTTCATGGATGTGGTAATCAACTGCCACTCTGCCTGTAGCCATCAATAATGGCATTAAGAATCCCGAGGGGTAGTGATGAAGGCAAGTAACAGACTTAAGATCCTGGATTTCAAGCCAGATCGGCTTATGCAAATAAGTGGTAGGTAGGACCCCTGACAGGAGTCAGCTTTGATGGTTCAGGAAAGCTGGCAGGTTATTCAAGATGACCTCCTTCAAATGCAAGGACTGTCCAGCCCAAAACTCAGGAAGACAAGTAGGAGAGCAGCCCACTCACACAAGGAATACAGGACTGAACTGCAATGCAAAAGGTCAGTATATGGGGGGATGAGCTACAAACATTGCCTGACACGTAAGCTTGGTTTTGGGGAAACCAAAAATTCACTAGCTACAAAGTTGGCTATTTCCAAATATTCAAGTCAAATAATGTCTGACTTTCAGGACTGAAAGAGCTGAGTAATATGATCCAAGCTGTGAATGCTAATTTTTCAACAACATACATAACTCCTACATCATATTTAAAAAATGAAAGAAAGTTGACACTGTGCTTAAGTTTCAAAAGGATACATGGAATAACCCAGCATAATTATAGACTTTGTAAGCTATTATTAAACATGGATAAAACAACAAAACAGACCTGACCAACAACAAGCAACAAAAGGGTAACACAGACCAAAACCAGAGACTAATATAATCTATAATCACATTGCACTGGATGTATTTTGTGCATGTGATATCTAAGGTCATTTTAGTATCGTCTCTTAAAAGTCAAATGCTGGAGGTATTTTTTAAGCATTCTACTACTTTACCCTTATAAGTAGCTATTGTCAAGTTATTTAACCACTTATTTATATAACGAGGGTTTTTTTATAGCCTTTACCTGAGGTCTAAATATTCCAGAGAACCTCGAGGTTTCACCTTTCACTATAATTAAATTTACAAGCTTATGAAGGTTTTTTTAAATACTGTTATGAAGGTTTTAAGCATCAGCAATAATGTAGCCCTTTAGTTCACTTCAGAATTCTTTTTTATACAGAAGTAGTAAAGTAACTTTAGTTGGGAGAACTACTGCCATAGTCCATCACTTCCTGGAACTGTAATATAGATGTACAATACTTACTTTTAGCATGTCTTTGACTGCAGTCCTGCCTTCCTTTCCAAGGAAAACACGATAGGGGTAAAGCCGGTCAATAACATGCTGGACCGACATCATAGGAAAGGAATCCTAATTCAATGTTAAAATACAAATTAAAAAAATTATTGGCTCATTCTGTCATCAGGCATTAGACCAAAAAACCTGTATAGCTTTGAACATAAAATAAGACTGTAAGGGCAATACCTAAAACAGCACTACAAGAATATTTGATTAAATGTCAAAACAGGCATTTTTGAGGTGCAATTCATGATAATGTCAAAGTCCAAAGGAGATTAGAAGAATTATGCCATAAAAATTACTTTGTTTCCTGTTCATAAATTGAAGCTACAGTGATTGGCTCAGATACCTAAAGACATTTATGGCCACAAGAGACAAATGCCACCACAGGTAACTCACAGCACTACTAGAAAAGCAATATGACAAGAAATATGCATTACAATAATGATCTACACATTCAAAGCAATTTCTAGTATTTAATTTTTATTCTATTATATTGTACAGATTTTACTTAACAAATCAGTTTATAGACATTTCTGTTTTGTTCTGCAATGAGTTACTGGGTATGCTTGCCCTTTCTACACAAAACTGAAAACAACTGTTTTTTTAAACTATCTGCTTATTTAAGTATTAACTCTTTTGTCAGTTGCTGCCTGAACTAGACAAAGATTTGATTATTTTGTGGCAGTAACAGAGACAAAAAGAGAAATGCATTTATGAATACTCAAGAAACTATGCATAAAGCCTTTTCTGGTAGCAAAAAAGTGTTTCAAACCCCCTAAAGTAACCATCGATTGTTTGCTTCAATGAAGACTTGCAAAATTTTTAGGACTACTTGTGTGCAAAACTAGTGAAAAATAGTCATTGGAGTGTCACTACTTTTTTAGGCCATCATCAAAGCAAATCATGTAATTTAAATAAAATCAACTGATTTTCAGTTATACACTTGGATTTATGTAGGCATCCAACTGGAAGAAGAGCTTCTTAGAAATTAAACCAGGAGACACATATTTTATGAAATGCTAATTCAATTCATATTTATAAGTAGTAATACTATTTATAATGTTCCATATTTTAAAAAAAGTCAGTAAAAATGAACCATATAATGCACTGTAGCAAATGTACTGCTTCAAGGATCAGGGAGCCCTTAACTGCAATTTAAAAGCCCTCTGTATATATTAGGACATACCATGCAATTTGTACACATTATCTAAAGTTAATAACAATTACAATGGCATGTATAAAATGAGCCTCTTCAGGACCCTATAAAAAAAATCCTCCCTTTCAGCAGGCAGGAGTTTTCAAGCCAAGAAATATGTTTTGGAACTGTGTGAATCTATGACAGAAGATAAGAAACTACTCATTTCAATGCAATCCCTCCACACTTTTAAACAGTTAAATCAACCAAGCTAGAAGCAGAGGATGGCACTGACCCAGCATGTGAAGAAAAAATGCTGTAGTTAGAAATCACCATGAACAGTCAACTTAGAAAACCAAGTGATTAAAACTAATTCTAAAAGAAACAGTTTCCATCTACCTAAAAAAGACCCTGTCATACAATGGTAACACTTCACATTCTCTAATGTAAAATAAAATGCTTCCTTCATTTCATAGTTTAGATAAGAGCTTAGGAATCGTTCTCTTTCTGTTACTCTGTAAGCCATCTGGCATTCATTTAAAAATAATTTTTCACTACAGGGCTCAAAGAATATAAATTTGCAATTTATTTCAAAATCCAACACGTATTTCTTTCTAAAGTCCTCCAAATACCTCTTAACTTGAATTTTAATCACTTTGTAACATCTGATGTAGGACCACTAATTCAGAAAACAAACTATGTATGTAAGTATCCAGCACAACTGTGAGGACTGAGCATCACAGCAACAAAGTAATGTATACAATGCAATAAAACATGCAGGAAGTGATCTGCTGCTGAGCAGTACCGTGGGTAAAATGACTGAGCATGAGACAACAGAGAACTATCCGGAGTTCGTTCTAACACCTGCACCTTGGAGAGAGGGTTTGAGAAGCTGCCGTGGTATTTTACCCTCCAGGGTTGACCATATCTTCCTGTATGCAAAAACATACTGACCTCTCCCCCTCTTTATACAGACCTCATCTACCTGACTTCCTTCAGGAGGCACTTTCCAGCCCAGCTTCACCTTTTTACCGTGCAAGTATAAAGTCCAAGAGACAAAGGATTGTCCAGGAAAGCAGAAAGGCTGCCACAGCTTTAGTTTTGACCTGCCTCACCTGTCACTGTGTATTTCCCTATAGACTGCAGCTGTCAGGAAGCACTGCATCCTCAAGCATGCACAACCTGCATTTTCAGGTAACCCTCTATTTCTGTGTTTATTCTAAATCCACCAGTCAACACAAAGACCTAACGTAGGCTGCATCTCACACAACCTAACTGTCTCCTCTACCCGCACTTGAATAATTGCTTTGAGTCCTTTTAGGTGTCAATGGAGAGAATAAATGTCTTTGTCATGCAATCAATCAGATTTACATGCATACCAATAAATCCAAAGCACTTTTAGGGTGTGATTTTTATTTCTCTCCACTGACTACCTCAGTGTCATCAGGTAAACAACAGATGCTCCTGAAGTCAGGTAAGATGATTTACCATAGGGGAGAAAATAATAAATTGAGCACTAAGATACTCTTAACCACAGCACAAATCTTATGTCATACCGTACCATGCCCTTCAGTATTACGCTGTGTGCTTGGTTAAACTATTACCCAGAGATATCCAACTGAGACCTTTCTCCCTTAGACTATCCTTAGTTTTTCCTGGTTGGGTGGTTTTTTTTTCCAAATATTCATGTTAATCTTCTTCAAAGAACTCGAATAAACCAGATCTAATTCTGAGAAATGTTAAGCCCATATAGTTTCACAGCACGTGAATGCACATACCAAAATCTGAACGGCAGCTGATAAGCTGTCTAAAGGAAAATCTGGAAGTCCCAACATAGAAGATTCTTGAGAGCAGAGAGTTGTAGCAAAAGACAGGAGCTGAGAAACTCTGCATAGGAAAAAGTAATTACAGTTTTATACATGTTATCTATATTTAAAATACTAAAGCACAAAAAGTGAAATACAGTAAAAGACGCTGAAACTATTTCTGAGTGCAAATAAGTAAGGTGTGACTGAAGTTCTAAAGCATTAAGGATTCATTACATGAAGGCTGCACACGAAGAGCTGTGTGAGCATACACCCACACATTTTAAAAAACCTCTTCACTTCTGGTTTCTATGCAGTGATAGAGACACAAAAATAGCAAGGAATCCTGAAAGGACATTGCTTCTTTATTCACTCAATTTTACTTTTTTTAATTATGAAAAATTACCTCTCTGTGGAAATGTTTGATCCAACTGAATATAATAGCTGAAGATGGTCCTGAAAATAGAAGATAAAATCACAGAGTAAATTAATTTTGGGATCATACTGTGGGTCACAGGTCATGATATATGAGGCATTTTCTGTCTTTCCCTCTAATTTAGACATGAGGATTCTACTCACTCCTTGACACAGAATTAATTTTATTTAAGAGAAAAAAGAAAATGATTCAATCTTT